ATTACCGTGTTTTATTTTCTAGGTGACTCTGATATCACTAGAAGCATAACAGAACAGACTGGTGAAAAGTAAATCATGCAAAATTTCTTTAAAAAAAAAACAAGATTCAAACTCAGGTTTGCCTAACTAAAACTCAAGTTTTTCTTAAAGAAATAAAATCGACATACCTTCAATCTACTTACAGTTAAACAACTCTACTTCAAATTCTTAAGTTTTCAAATAATCAACTGACCCCATTTCTATACCAATTAGAAAACATGATAAACTACAAAAGTACTTGTAAATACTTTAAAAACTTTATTAATAAAATATGATTTAAAGATCAGAGTCTAATCAACTCTGAAATATATCATTTAAATATCTCAGCTACTATCACAAAAATAGTGCATTATGAGGATAGGTGCTAAATTGAAGTATTCCGAAGTTGTCCATCAAAAGCATTTTACTATGATATTCACATTGAGACATAATCATAATTAAGAAACAAATGGTTATCATACTAATTGCTGAAACAAAGAATCCAAGAAGACTGAACAGAAGAGACAACCTAAGAAGAACAGATTAGAAACAATGGTAATGAAAAAAGAAAGACCATTTTTCAAATCCTCTGATATTTCCCTAGGCATTACTTCAAGAAGAGATTCAAAAGACCCCTTTATCTACCCATCTGCACAAAAAAGAAAAGCTCCTTCTAGTCTCCTACTATAAAATATGGTGGTGTTATCACAACACAATGTACAATACAATGAAGTCTCCATTGGAATCTTAACAGCTAATCTGAAGACCTATCTATGGTCAAATTAAAAATGATTGTTTTTTTTCCCTAGAAAATACCTATCGAAAATTATAAGAAAATGTTCTGTAGGATCATTAAACCATTTCATCATGGAATAGTTTTCTATAGTTTCTATTGGAAATAGATCCAATACTTTTTCCTGGCTGGCTGTCTAGCCAAGAAAGTGCCCATATACTCATTCATAGTCAACACCTAGCATTTTTCGCAAAAGGCCACTCAGCCTCCCCACAAAAAGTACTTTTTTTAAAAAAAAGAAAAAGGTCCTTAAAGAAAGCACAACAGGACCTCCCTGGAAACAAGCACTGCCACACTATGAAGCAATCCACAGCCTCTGCAACACGAGTTCTATCGCCGGCCGGCTAGCGCAGAAACCCACATGGCGCAGCAGACCTCTCCTGTCTCACCCGCTGCTCCCCTTAGCAGTGTATTTCAGTCAGTCTGCCTGTTCTGTTCCTCACTGTCTCTGGTGAATCCTCTCACACTCCACACTTCTGGCCTGTACCCCAGTTCTTGTATGCAGAAATAAATAAATCGTAAAAAAAAAAAAAAAAAAAAAAAGCACAACAAATGATTTAAGATTACATGTCTATTATCTATCTTCTTTAACATCAAAAGAATTAGCATTCTTACAAGTCATTTTCCTCCCCTAGTTTCAAAATGGAATTATTAGCTCTATTTGAAATAATGTTTATATGCTTTTGAAAGTCTATTTTAAAAATGAGCAACCTTTCCCAATGTCATCACAACAACATTGTTCTTAGAAGTAACTAAATATAGCAAAAAAATGTTAGGTATAACTTAATTATGAGATTAGAAAAGCAGTTACATTTCATATTCTTTTAACAAACTCTTGCAGACTTAGCTAAATTTTTAAAAATAATTTCACTAAATTATGATGACAATTTGAGTAAACTTGTGGAAATCTTCCTAGGATAAACCTCTCCTATTTCCACTTCTAAACTGTGGAAAGGGAAATCAATCATAAACAAGTACAAATTCTAGTTGCCATATTTGTTCTGTTATCAAATAACTGTGATCTTAGCTAAATTATTCCACTCTGGGCTACAGTATCATTGTCTATAAAAAGACCAATTTAAGCAAGGTAATATTCAAGAATCTGCATAGTTCTAAAAGCTTTTAAATTCTATTGCTTAAAAGTTTTATATTTTAAACCTCACCTCATCTGAAGAATCTAGTTGTCCCAATGTTCCTGCTGCACCTGCAAAACCTTTGGAAAGGAAAAATAAAGTTGCCGTTTATAGTTGTTATATGTTACTTTATTTTAAAATTATTTTGAGACATATGGAAAAGCTAAGTTTTGTTATATTGACCCCTCATCATAACATTTATTTTGGCAGAGTTCAACACTTATCTTCAATATATTTGGGCCTAATATGTTTATACATCAATAGGAAATTTCCAGTAAAAACCAAGATTTTAATAACCACAAGTGATCTTTCAGAAAGATCTTTCTTTTTAGCTTTAAGCATGGTTTGCTAAAAAATTGAGCTACTAAAGTGTGTGCTATTCTTAAATGATAACTAATACATTTTTTTCATGAGTTAAAACTAGAGCCTTATTAAACTAATCAAATTTGATTTAGGAAAAATGCATTCTTTGCTTCTAAATTTTACAACTTCTTCCACTTTTCTTTAATGACATATTAAATTTCTTCAACAGCGAATAAAGTTTGAGTGTTATTTTGATACAGAGAAGTAACCACTGTCCAAATAAAAACTCAGACACACCTTGAACTGCCAGAGTGCTAGTACCAGCAGATGGCTCCTGTATACCATATACAAGCTTATCCTCAGGATATGTAAGTCCAGAGCTCTTCAAAGCTATAAGGTACTTCTCCTGACTTTTCTTTGCACAGGCATTTTCTCCAAGACCTAATAATTAAAACAAATTTAAAATCAGGAAAAAAATCCATTCAAAATATTAAGTACAGCAATCTTAGTAACTATATATACATATATAAAGTAGGTAAATATTTTAATAAAGGAGAATTTTAAGATAAATACAAAAAAAATTTCAGATAACATTTTGATGTTCATGTTTGGCACAAATAATGCCACAATGCACCCTAAAACAAATAATGAAATCTACTAAGTAACTGAGCATCTGAAACAAACCAGGAATTATATGCAAGGCACATGAAGTGCAAAGATTAATAAGGCATGATTTCTGCCATCAAGGAACTTTAAAATTAGAGATAGAGAAAGACAGATGATATGGTAAAGGACAATTACGTAGCAGACTTCACCATCTGGTTTGACAATTTGTGCTCTTCTAATACTGTGCAGCCAGACTTACTCAAAGCAGAGTATGGCAATCTTAGTAACTAAAACTTAGGAAAGATTTCCTGGAGAAGATAATGCCTGAGTAGAATTTTTAAATATTACAGTGGAAATTATTCTTAATTCCTATTTTACCAAGTTTTTTATTACCACATTTAAAGAATTAAAAGTGTGATTCTACAGAACTATCAGTTAAAATATTTATTCCAAAAATATTGAAAGTTTAGGTTCTAAAATCATACATTCTTAGAACTTTCACTTTCAGCATTTCAGAAAGCTTATTATTGCCAACTTTTGTTTTATTTTTTAGTATATTATTGAGTATGGGGTATCAATAAAAAGTAAACATTAATATATATTTCAAGAGTTTTTAAAAGAAAAAAATATTCTCTATGTGAAAACCAAATTACCCTGGCATATACCACCCTCTAAGGAAAATTACATGCTTTAATTAAGATTTTAGTATGTGGGGCCTCCCCGGTGACACAGAGGTTGAGCGCTGGGCTGCGAGGTTGCCTGAAGCCTCTGCAGCGCCGGTTCGATCCCCAGCCAACGGCAAGGTCCCACATGCCGCGACACACCTCTCCTGCTGCGCCCACTGCTCCCCTCAGCAGTGTACTTCATCAGTCTGCCTGTTCTGTTCCCCTCTCTGGCTCTGGTGAATTCTCTCACCCTCCCACACTTCTGACTGTACCCAGTGCTTGTATACATAAAAAAAAAAATCTTAGTATGTGATTATAAAAATATATAAATGAATTTCTTCAGTATTTGCTGAGGTTTTTTTCTTTGCTAACCACAATAATTTCAATAGAACAGTTTAGTTTTGTTTTATAAACCTCTAATTTCTGTGTAGGTTAATTTGAAGGGAAAAAAAAAAGAAAGAAAAACCAACTCCAACACAGATATATAGGAATGTATTCATCCTTAGATTCAAGAAATCTGATATTTCAAACCACCACAATTAGTTTATAAAGAATAAAGAACCCCCAGAGTACTAATTAAGAAATGACTAAAATTCTCCTGAATAATAAAAGCCATGTATTTATCTCACTAGTGACCAATGAAATTTTTGTAATGCCTTTAAATTAACAAAATTGGCCCCCTCACAATAAACCTGAGAAAAATTAATGTATACTCACCACTTTTATAATAAGAAACTGAGGCTTAGAAAGATTACATGGCTAGCCAATGAGAAGGCAAGCAGTGATTACAACTGAAATGAGATTACAAATTTTTAAGCTTTTTAATCAAAACCTAATGTTAAAATTTTAAAGTTAAAAACTGATTCCTTTTTTGTTAACTTCAAGAAGAACTTAAAGAATTGTAGAAATAATAGAAGGCAATTACCACAAATAATTCTTAAGGCACACATTCTCTCAATGATTATCATCACCCTGCTTTTCTCCTTCCCAACAATTGACAGTTTCTGAATAAAAAGCCATTTTTGAGGTTGAAGAAATAACAGATCTCTAGAAATAATTTTTATCTCTCTCCAGTTTCATCACCAAATTCGAATACAAGCTACCATCATCTTTATTCCAGGTTGCTGTACTTGAGCTTCTGTTTTTGCCCCTTTTGATCTATTCTTGGCAAAATAGCAAGTCATCTCTTTAAAACACTTATCTGATCATGTCACTCTTAAGCTAAAAATATTTCCATGACTTTCTACTACATTCAGATATAAAATCTAAGATGGTCCAAAGGGCCTACCTAAGCAGGATCTAGCCTAACGTGGCAGCCTTATTTATGCCACTATTCCTTCTACATTCATTTCATTTCAGTCAGACTAGTCTTTTTCAGATCCTTTAAAAAAGTTCATTCTTACCCATAAATATTCTTACATATTGGTCCCTCTGCATGGAATCTAGAAGGTGCCTGGTTGTGCTAATCTTTATATTTATCCTGTTTGAAATTAAGTATCTTAGAGATATAATTCATGGTTTTCATCCAACTTGAGGAATTTTAGTCATGATTTTTTCAAGTATTTTTTCTACCCTATTCCTACTCTTCTATCCTCCTGAGGTTCTTCTGCATGCATGTTATATCATTTCAATCTGTCTAATATGTCTCTGAAGCTTTATTGTGTTTTCTAGATTGAATAAGCTATCGATCTCTCTTCAAATTCACAGACCTACTGTCTCCAATCTAATAATAAACTTACCCAGTGAATTTTTCAATTTTACCATACCACTCTACAATAATTTTCAGTTCAAGAATTAATTAGGAATACAATATAAATGTGCAAATACATTCAAACATTATGACTATGTCACAATTAAAGATAGGAAACCTGTGTTCTAGCCACAACTCCAAAATAAGTTAATTGTGAAATCTTTAACAGGTCACTTAATTTTTCTGGAGCTCAATTGCCTCATCCATAAAATAAGTACTCTTAACAACTTCCAGCTTCTAGCAATCTTTGAAAAAAGTCTTTATTTTGAACTTCCAGCTTCTAGCAATCTATGAAAAAAGTCTGTATTTTGCTTATAAATTCTAAAATACAATTTCTTATGAGTATAATAATAAGTAAATTTTTATTTTTTTCCTAGTCTAACATTTTACTCACCAGATGTCAGATCTTTGTAGTTTTGCTGGTTTGTCAAAACCTGAGTAAGAACAGACCGCATTGCTCCTCCCATTTTAGTTAGATCTTCTAAAAAGGAAATTTGAGGTTCCAATAACTGAAGGACTTTGTTAAGATCTTTTTCTGATGGCACATCAGCTGCTAAAAGAATATATAGACACACACATATATAAAATTAACTTTCCTTAAAATATTTTGCTAAGAACAACAGTATGTTATTTTCTTAAAATTACAATGACTCAAATGACAATAATTTATAATATAAAGGCTAATATAAAAACTCTGTTTAGAAAGTAAGTATCTGCCTAGCACTTAACCTAGGCTAGACCTGCTGAGAAATTGAGTTCCCTGAAAGGTGATGGAGAAAAGAAATGACTTCCAAAAGTATTAAGCATTTAATTTGCATAAAAAGCATTTAGTTTACGGACCCTGTACTTCCAAATATATAAATATAAATATAAACATAAGATCATTTCAAAATTAAAAAGTATTTTAAGAAAAAGTTAAGATCACTCCCTAAAATAAAACAAGAGTAGAATTCAAATAAATTGAAAGTAATGTAAAAATATTAGGACAAAATTATGTCAGCTCTAAATTTAAACCTGTGCAGCAAATAACCCATCCTCTGTCATAGTCCAAAAATACAGTCATGATAGCTGAAGGTCAAACCAACTAAAATGAAAAATAATTGTTTTGACAAACATGAATGTTTTTACTCAACAATTAAAAAATACTAGGCAAGATATGCCTACTAGAGTTAGAGGGTGAGAGGAAAACTTGGACAACAACTGGAAAAGGATATTTAAAAGGAAAAGAGATGTTTTACAGAAATTGGGATCTAAAAGGAAGAAGTGAATGGAGAAGAGATTTAGAGTTTAACTATACCTGGTTTAAAGAAGAAGGCACATAAGGGAGTTAACAGGGGCTTGTGTGCCCAGGAAAAGAGACATCAATTTCATTCAACATTTATTCAGCATCTACACTGAGAAGCAAAACTAAATAAGATATACTTCCTACCCAAAAAAGAACTCATAAACTTGTCAAGGATAAGCCAATAGACTTGAATTTTTAGTGGTAAACTTAATGTAGTATACACATGTTGATTTTTAATGATGCACATCTGAAACTTAAAAGTTACAATGCAGTGTTACTGCAAAAATCATTCAAGCAAAAAAGATAATCTGTAAATGAAATTTTAGATAAACCTGAGTCCTTGGGACCCAAACCAAAAAAACCTTACTTTCACAGTAAAAAATTAATGCTATATGTTAGTCATCTTTATAATCTCAGTAGTAAATTATGTAGTAACTTAGTAGTTATTTAAATTATACTTCGGGGCCTCCCCGGTGGCACAGCGGGTTGAGCACAGCACTGTGAAGCTGTCCGCAGCCTCTGCAGTGTGGGTTCAATTCCCAGCCGGCCAGGGAGATTCCCACATGGTGTTGCAGACCTCTTCTGTCTTGCCCGCTGCTCCCCTCAGCAGTATCTTTGGTCCGTCTGCCTGTTCTGCTCCCAGCTCTCTCTGATGAATTCTCTCACCCTCCCGCCTCTGACATGTACCCCAGTTCTTGTATAAATAAATAACCTTTAAAAAAAAAATTACACTTGGTTTCCAAGTGCTCTGACAGGAGCTCTGGTGATGGTTTGAGAATTATAGGTGAAATGAGAAATGCAACTCAAGACAATTGTTGTATCACCAGATGTCTGAGCTTCTATTACCTCAGATGAGATGATCTTTTGTTCTTTAATTTTGAACAGTGATCGCTACATAAAAATAATGCAGTAATTTCTTCTTGCACAGATAGAAAAAATAAACACTGAGCACAAGTAGTAATACGGAGAGGAAAATTTGCAATCCTTTCATGATAAAAAATTAAAGTTTATTAGAAAGGTAAAAATCGGGGCCTCCCCGGTGGCGCAGCAAGTTGAGTGCTGGGTTGCAAAGCTGCCCGTTAGCATCTGCAGCACTGGTTCGATCCCCAGCTGCTCCCCGGCCACCAGAGGAGGGTCCCACATGGCGCGCAGACCTTTCCTGCCGCCCGTTGCTCCCCTCAGCAGTGTACTTCCATCCTTCTGCCTGCTCTGCTCCCTGCTCTGGCTCTGGTGAATTCTCTCACCCTCCCGCGCTTCTGACTGTACCCAGTGCTTGCATAAATAAATCTTAAAAAAAAAAAAAAAAAAAAGGTAAAAATCATCATAAAAAATAAATGTTTCATATTACTAATTGATACCTGTAATTCCACAAAATCAGACTGAGAACAGTAATAGATGTCACCTACGTGCAAATACTTCATTAAAATATATTAATCAAGACTGCAACTGAATCTTGAAAAGAATATCTATAATGTGCATGTTTCATTTCTCAATATTAACATGATGCTTATACCCATAAATCTATCAGTAATAAAGTGAGCAAGTTAACCCTCTCATAAATTTTACAAATGGAGGAAAATAAAAACCTCTAAAAAGAGAGATTAGTGAAATAGTAGTTTATCATCTAAAAATCTAAGTTAAATTCAAACATTGCCAGGACTTCTTAATTCTGCTCTATGATGACATAATTGCAACCCCATAAAATGAACATTTCTTCATCTGCAAAAAGTCAAATGAATTTGACCAAAAATATTTATAATCTAAAGAGCAGAGAGTACAGAAACATGCCTATTACAAGATATCTATGAAAATACATAACTGATATTTAGCTTGTATTTCATGATCATCTCACAAAAAGTATTAAACATATCTGAAAAAAATTCACCTCATTATTAATGCTAAACTTTTTACATTGGGAACCTAAAAAGAGTACTAACAATGAGTGCATTAAACATACCTGGTTCATTATAGCCTTCTCTTAAGTACTGAATAAGACAAAAAATAAATCTTGGAAGAACAAATTCAGACATCATCAGTAAGTCTTTGGGAACACAGGGAATATTTGAACTTGATTTAATTTGATGTCTTTTGCAAAACCTGAAATATGAAAAAGAAAAAAATGTAATGTCTAGTTTGCCAAGAAAATATTACTTTTATTTACAATATCAATAAACTGAAATGGGCTAATATTGAAGCCAATGTATTATTCTTTTATGATTTTTAAGGCACCAAATTAAAAGATTATAATTTTAATCAGACTTTAAATTAATAATGGCATTGTGGAATATTTCTTCCCAATAAAATACCGTAACAGTTAAGTTCCAGCTACAATACAATAAGAAAATCTCATTACAGGATTTATACATTTTAACTGCAATCTATTACTTTAAATGCTACTTTATTACTTCTGCCCTTTATAAACCATTTAAATACACACTGATCATTTCCCAAGAATATGCATTTTCCATTTCTTAACTGGTTCTAACTTACTGTATAAAATAAGTGATATAAATACTTGAAGTTTATTTGACAAGTGTATACACTTAAGTATATACAAGCCTTCATATTTTGTTTATACTTCAAGCATGAATGGTATGCCTGAGTAAAAATGAGCTATTCTATATTCATACTATAATCACAAATGAGTTATTTTGTGACCAAACATAAAATAATCACATGCAAAATGCCTAGAAATAAAATTATTAGGAAGGATGAGAAACTATTTTAGCTGAAAATCATAAAAGACCTGAATAGAGAAAGAAACATTCTCCAATGGAAAAGACAAATTTTTTTAAAAAACAAGTTCCACCTAATTTGCATTTAGATTTAAATCACATTGGACTTAATCATAAACTAAGTCTAAAGTTCAAATGGAAGAGCATATTATGAAAAAAAATCAGTAAAACCTGAAAATAAAATTTTTCATTAATAAGCAATTTTAAAGTGTTAACATCTGTGTATGTTTGAAAAATTCTGATAACAAGAAAATGATTTTTTCATCTTGCAGATTAGGGAAAATTCATTTTAAAACCCATTATTGGCAAACAGGTTCAGAAACTTTTGTTATCAAACACACAGATGTGAAAAATCCAGTTTTGGTGACATTTTGATAACTATTAACACTTTATTTTTTTAAAAGAATTATTTATTTATGCATACAAGAACTGGGGTACGGGCCTGAGGTTTGGGGGGTGAGAAGATTCACCAGAGACAGAGTGGGGAACAGAACAGGCAGATTGATTGAAACACAGTGCTGAAGGGAGCAGTGGGCGAGTCAGGAGGGGTCTGCTGCACCATGTGGGTAGCTCCCTGGACAGGGCTCGAACTCATGCTGCAGTGGCTGTGGATAGTTTCATAGGTTGCATCTTAACCCCTTGTGCCACCAGGGAGGCCCTAAATGGTCACAGTACTCATTCACCATTTCTATTTCTAGAAATTTATTAAATAAAAATACTCCTACGTTTGCAAGAATACTATATCTACAATGATGCTCATTGTAAGACATTTTGCAAAGCAAAAAGATTAGAAACAAAGCATGGGTTCAGTAATAAATAAAGGCTAAACAAATTATGGTAGATCCATAATATATTTTGCATTTGTTAAAAAAGAATGAAGCAGATCAGTAAGTACTATAGTAGAATCATATCAAAGGAAAGTTAAGTAAGAACTATATAGTAGTAGATACATTACAATCTCTTTAATCAAAAATATTTTAGAGGAAGAAGAGGAAAGAACATGCTATATATATATATATATATATATGGAAAATAGAGAAATATATGCCAAATTTGGTGAAAATTAACTAGGAGTGGTATATGGCATGCTTTTACTTTCTACATTAATTCTACCTGCAATGTTTGAATTGTTTATAATAAACATATATGTGTAGCTGCAACCAAAAAGAAAAAAATTTAAATTAAAACCAAACTATAAGTTATTCATTTAGTTTAGTTCCACAATTAAAAGCAGACCCTTTTGGATTATGAACCTCTTTGAGAATCTAATGAAAACCACAACTCTTTCTTAAGAAAAATATAAACATACAAAATAAAACATTCAAGAGTAAACACACTGCTTAAGTCTATCCAGTCTTTAGGCAAAGCCTCCAACTGTTAAATTAGCAGTTGGATTGGGATGTCTTCAGTCTTCAAGGCAGACAGACTAGCTGGGTCTCAAAGCATCCTCAGTTGCTTCTGTGTCCCACCCAAATATCATTTTCCATATCTGACATATTAGAAAAACGAAGTATTCTACTTTAAAATCTAAAGCTTGATTTAAAAGCAAGTATGAATTTAACAACCTCTTGCAGCTGTGGTACACAAAAATCTAAGTAAAATCAAGGAAGTTTAAAATGCTCCCATTTCTATTTTTAAAAGCTTATGAAGATTAAAAAAAAAAAAAACTGGCCGGTGTGACAGTGGGACTAGTGGCAATCTGAGATAATTTAATTAGCGTACCTACAAGGGAAAATATGAAGAAAAAAATATATAAGCAAAGAATGGGAAAACATAGAATGAAACTTTCAATGAAAAACTTTACTGCAGAAAAGCAGAAAGAGAGGACTAGATAAAGGAAGGCTTAGAAAGCTCTCATATTTTCTGAGTAGGAAATAAACCAATTCAAAACAACTATGGGACACGAAGTGAAGAACAATTTGAACAGAGTGTCAAGTGACTACAAGGAGTGAAATTTCAACCTGGAACTAAGCCCAAAGGACAGCAATAAAGTTCTAAGCAAACCAGGGGCTAGGGTTACCAGAGTGTATTAGATGGTTGTGGATTGGAAAAATTAATAAACTAAAGAACCAAGTTCTGTGATCTACTTTAAATAAATGTAGGACTGTCTGATATTGTTGTAACATACCGTAATATGGATAAACAAAATTATTTTCTCTATTTCTGCCTGAACATAGCATGGAGGGAAAAGTCTCTTATGAAGCAAGTAGTTAATAATGAAGACTTAATTGATTAATTAAACTAATAGAACATGAAAAATTATTTCAATTAATGAATAACCATGACCCATTTAATAATTTCAGTCTTTCACGTACTTTTTGAAAACTACGATATGCCTGGACTTGGGCCTGAAGAATATAGGGGCCTTGCTCTCATGGAGCTAACTTTTTACTAGGTGAAGGTGGAAGAAAGTAAAGGAGAGAGAGGGAAAAAAACATGAAGCAAATTTTAATAAAATAAAATAAAAAATAAATATGAATCTAAGCTATCAGAAAATAATCTGACAACATAATTTGCAGAAAGTATTCACTACACTTGTCAGGAAAGGGGTTTCTAAAGAGGTAATATTTAGGTTACAGGGCAAAAGTCAAGGAGATGGCTAGGCATGCAGGAGGCAAAGCATTGTGTCAAGAGGCCTGACAAATGCAATTGTACATAAAACAGGCACTAAAGATCTCTCCCCAAATCAATAGAAAACAAGCTTTCTAGATAACTAATATGTTTCCAAAGAAAAAATGAGGCAGGAGTACTATACTCACATTAGCAGTTTCACAGGTCATAGAAACTTTCTTCAAGTAAACTAACAGTTTTGAATGATTAAAAGGGTAAATATGCCTTAGTAGAGGCAGAAAGTTATGACAATACCAAATGGTTAAATAGAATTACAGAAACAGTTGATAAAATGAGCACTCCAAATTTTATTTCACTTCAACTTTTAAAATTTTTTCATTTAAGTTTCTGTACAGCAAAAGAGACAGCAACCAAAATGAAGAGCACCCAACTGAATGGGAGAAAATATCTGCACACCATACATCTGATAAAGGATTGATATAAAAGATCTACAAAGAGCTTACACAACAACAACAACAAAAAGCAAATAACCCAATCAAAAAGTGCAGAGAAGAGTTCAATAGATACTTCTCCAAAGAAGAAATGCAAATGGCCAATGGGCATATGAAAAAAATATTCAACATCACATATTATCAGGGAAATGCAAATCAAAACCACAATGAGAAACCACCTCTTAACTGTTAGAATGGTACATATTTAAAAAATTGTAAACAACAAATACTGACAATAATGTGATCACTGCTGATGGAAAGGCAGACTGATCCAGCCACTAAGGAAAGCTATGTGGAAGTTCCTCAAAATAAAAATGTATCTACCACATGACCTAGAGATTTCACTCCTAGGAATCTACCCAAGGAGACAAAAGGAAACTTGTACTCCTATGTTTATTGCAGCACTATATTTACAATAGCTAAGATATGGAAACAATCTGAAATGCCCCAAAACAGATGAATGGGTTAAAACATGGAATACTACTCAGCAATCAGAAAAGATAAACTCATGCCATTTGCAACACAGATGAAGCTGGAAGGGACTGTGCTAAGCAAAATAAGTCAGGAGAAAAATGCTAAATGTTGAATAGTTTCACTTAAATGCGGAATATAGAGAAGCCAAACAAAGGGTCAGGAAAAGCAAACAAACAAAAAGAGACAAAACTTGCAAGCTGACCATAGATCTTCCGCACACAGCAGGGAGGAGGGAGAGGGTTCAAAACAGGGAAGGGGGGCCTCCCTGGTGGCAAGGGGTTGGGACACAACCTGTGAAGCTATTCGCAGCCACTGCAGCACAAGTTCAATCCCCGGCCAGGGAGCAACCCACATGGCGCAGCAGAACTCTCCTGACTGGCCCGCTGCTCCCCTCAGCAGTGTATTTCAGTCGGCCTGCCTGTTCTGTTCCCCACTCTCTCTGGTGAATCCTCTTACCCCCCACTCCTCTGGCCTGTACCCCAGTTCTTGTATGCATAAATAAATAAATCTTTAAAAAAATAAGCAGGGAAGGGAAGATCATGAAGGGCTGTGGTGATGGATCACAGGTGCCATGGTGTTGACAGAACCAAAGGGACTACAGTGGAGGGAAGAAAACAAATTCTATCCAAAAAGTAACAATGATGTAAGAAAATAAATAAATATAATTTAAAAATTAATAAAAAATAAAAAAGGTTCATTTAAGCACAACTGACAGAAAATTGTATGCATAAATAAATCTTTTTTAAAAAGAAATAATGGTTGAAACTTCCCAAATTGGGCACAGTAATGGAAATCCAGTTTCATGAAGTCAGAAAGTCCCTA